TATTATTATTATTATTATTATTATTATTATTATTATTATTATTATTATTATTATTATTATTATTATTATTATTATTATTATTTGTAGTATTAGTGGATGGAATAAGAGAAGAGAGTTATTAGAGAAGTTGTGGGAGAAAGAGGAATAACACGATAACTGCCCAGAAAACCAAAATTGAGGAAAAAGGTTGAAGAGAAGGAAAAAGGAACGTGACTGCGGAGAAAGTAAGAAGAAGAATTTTCCATCGGTGAAATTGGAAGAAAGTTGCAGGAGAATTACCGTAGAACAGAACCAGAACCAGAAAGCTTGGAATTGGCCTTTATTCAAGGTAAGGGTGGGGTTCAATTCTATAACCGTGGGTATGATCAATTTCATGTAGGGAATTGATTCATAGGTATAATTTCCGTTAATCGATATATTTTAGGGACGAGGTTTTTCTATGTAAGAATGAATGTGTTATATATGATGCTCTAAGGTTTTCCTAATGGGGCAAATACGTAGTAATGTCCCCGTAGTAACGTTACCATAGTAACGTTACCGTAGTAATGTTCTCGTAGTGATGTCCCCGTAGTAACGTTACCGTAGTAATGTTCCCGTAAGTTGAAGAAAGAAATATTAAAGATTAATGTTCCCGTAGTAACGTTACCGTAGTAATATTACCGTAGTGATGTCCCCGTAGTAACGTTACCGTAGTAATGTTCCCGTAAGTTGAAGAAAAAAATATTAAAGATTAATGTTCCCGTAGTAACGTTACCGTAGTAATGTTCCTGTAGTGATGTCCCCGTAGTAACGTTATCGTAGTAATGTTCCCGTAGGTTGAGAAATATTAAAGGAATATTAAGGGTAAATGTTCCCGTAGGTTGAGAAATATTAAGGGTTAATGTTTGTCTATGCCTGTATTAATGTTTATGTCGTTAGTTTATGTAGTAATGTTGGGAATCGGCGCCGACACGCGCTAATTTCCCATTTGTTGAGGAAATGTTATTATAATTTTCTCCTTAGATTACGTGGATAAGTTGTAGTTATATTACCCGTATGAAGGTATATGAAAATGTGTTGAGTTCTTATTTGTAGTAATGATGTTGTCAGTTGTTCTCTGACATGAAAATGCTGTTGAGTTCTCGATTATAGAGACGAGGTTGTTTTTAATTGTTCTCTACGAAAATGTGTTAGAGTCTTATTCGTAGGAACGATATTGTTGGCAGTTCTCTGATATGAACAGATTGAAATGGTGAGTCCATAATATATGCAAAATGTGATGTTTCTGTTATGGATAATTGGTTGTAGGCGTGATGCCTTATTGCACGGTTGTTGCACAGTTGTTGTTGTTGTGTTATAGTCCATAATAGTTGCATCTCATAGCATATCATTTGTCCTGGATTGGCGACGGTTGTATCTTTAATGATAAAATAAAATGATTGTGGAAAGTTGTCTCCCGAATTATTGTGGAGAGTTGTCTCCCGAATTATTGTGGAGAGTTGTCTCCCGAATTATTGTGGAGTGTTATCTCCCAAAATGGTACCACATGCATATGCACAGTTGAGTCGCATTGTTGAGTTGCGTCGTTGAGTTGTTTTGATGAGTTGCTGAGATATGATGATAATTGTTTTGGTTATGAATAAAGAGTGGTTGTAGTTTATTATTACTAATATTTATGCGAACTGCTAGAATTATAATGCTGTGATAATATTCTGACATGACTTTTATCATGCCTTATGTTATATTGTTGATATCTCACCCTTTACGTTGTATGTTACCTCCGTTGGTGGTAATTTGCAGGTAACTCGGAAGAAAGTGTCGCTTTATGTTTAAGGTCGTTGGTCGCTCTGATACGTAGCACTCTGGGGGGGGGGGGATGAACGATTAATGTTATTGTTTTAATTGAATTCATGGTTGCTGAATTTTATTAAGTACTATGGCAAATAGATTGGTTGTTTCTGATAATGTCAAATGTTGCTTGGATGCATAGTTGTTTTAGTGAATTGATGCAAGATAATTACTTGCCGAATTTAATGGAATTTAATTAGTACGAATCGTTGGAAGTGTATTATAACATGGCGTTTATGATTAAAATGTTAAACAAGTTACCGTTGTTTGTTCATCCAAATTTTGTGCTACGTATGTTAGTAAATGATCTTTTGCAGGTGTATGTGTTTTGGTTCAGTGTAGAATGTGACACCTCTGCTGCGTCTGAGAATTTGGGAGTGTGACGGTCGTCACAGCTCCATGACGCTCGTCATGACAGTGACGGTCGTGACATCCATGACGGTCGTCATGAGATTTTAATTGCTGCACTCTGAATTGTTTTTGTTGTTTATCTTATTTTTCCGCGATAGTTTAGAGTGGGGTGTTACAGCACACACCACACCCTTTTCTTTTAGGAGTGGCAACTGCCACTCCCCCTTCTTTCTAGAAGTGCCACTCGCCACTCCCCCCTCTCTTTGGAAGGTGGCAGGCGCCACACTTCCCTTGCATTTTCATGGTGGCAGGCGCCACACACATGCGACAAGTTCCACTAGTGTGTGGTGACCCCCACCTTATTTTTTTCTTTCCTTTTCTATTCTTTCTTCTTCTTTTCTTTCCTTCCTCTTTCTTCCTATTTTCTTTCCATTTCTTTCATTTATTTCTTCTTTTTCTTTAATCCATATTTTTGATAACCTACAATATACAAGAAATAGATGCGTAATAGAATATAAATCAGATAAAGTAGAAATAATTGCAGATAAAATTCATGTAAGTCAAGTCAAATATACGATATAATTTCGCGTTATCAACGACCCAAAAACTTCAAAAAGTCCTCGACGGCATCCACGACTAAACATGGTTATCTGCACATTACCCACATGGAGGCAACATTCAAACAGGGAGGGTAAGTAAAACGATTCATAATAATCAATATAAGAATCAATATATAAAATGACGTCATTTTCATATCTAACATCATCATAAGCATCAAGGAACATCAAAGGCCACAACATTATAAATTACACCAAATTGTCACATAAATACAAATTCAACAAGACTCATGCATGTGGTACCAATCAAAAAAATTCGATGGACACTGGACCATCAACCCTCCATAGATCCACAACAGTACGAGAACCGGAGCACAACAAAATACCTCACATCCGCATAATGGGACTGAAGCCACAAGAATCAAGGTCCTAGATCGAAGTCCGGAATGCATATGAATGCATGATGCACACATCAATATCATCCTCATAATAATCTCATTAGGTGCATCATCATTCATCAAAATAATCATAAGAATCACGTCATCATAGAATCATCAAAACCTCATGGAATCAACGTCACAAATAATCACAATACCTCATGGAGATTCATCATGCAATCATGTATTAATCTCATAAGAATCACAATTATACTCATGGGTACTCATCATACGGTCATGTATTAATCACATAGGAACCATAACTATACTCATGCTAATTTATCATACATTCATTTAATCACATAGGAATCACAATTATACTCATGGTAACTCATCAAGAAAATCACAGCATCAAACATCAAGCCATCACTGAACCAGAACATAATTCACGAAACTCTGCTATGTTTGCTAGCAAGTTCGCTGTGCGAGTCTAGGGCAATTGTTCGCCGTGCGAACTCGCGATTATAGTAAATCGTTTTTATGCACCAGCACCAAATCTCAGAAGAATCATAGTCATACTCATGGTAATTCATCAAAGAAATCACAACATTAAAAATAGACTTGCCAACAAAGAACACTTCTCCATGAATCTTTCTATAAAATCCAAAAAAGAAAAAAAATCAAGAAACAACAGTACAATATTACCAACAAACATCAAAAAGTTGTTTGAATCAAAAAGAGAACACACCAATGAATTAAAAATAAAAACTTTAAAAGGCTTTTAAGCATGCCCATTTTCTTACCTTTGAAGAATTTCGATGAATCTTCTGTAGCTAGTTAGATCCAACATTGTCGGCATTAACAATAAGGATTTGGGTGAGTTCATCGAAACACTAAATCATCTAACAAATTCAACAAACACTTTTTCATGTTGTAGCGAGAGGGAGAAGAGAGAAAGAGAATGGGAGAAAAAAGAAGGAGAAAAGAGAAAGGTTGGATCTTCACAAGCTTGCAGAAATGATTAAAAAAATGTGTTTGAGAGTTGGAGAATGACGGGTTTGTGAGAAGATTTGGGTGTGGTGATGTAAGAGTTTGTGGGAAGGAAAAGATAAGAGGTTTTCACAGAGAGAAAGAAGGAGAAGAGAGAAACAAAGAGAGGGAGAAGAGAGAGGTATGACGATTAGGTTTTCTTTGAAAGAGATAAAATTGTTTCATATATTATAATAAAATATTTTATATCAATTAAAGATAATTTAAATTAGTCAGATTAATATTAATTAGAGTGTCACGACTCACGCCTATCCAATATAATAGATTTTGATAAAATTTAACAAAAAAGATTAATGTAGTTAATACAACTTAATATAAAGGGAAATAAAATATTTGAAATTAAATTAAAGAGTATAAACCAATTGAACGAGTTTATTGAAATAAGTACTCCCTCTATTTAAAATGTATGTCGTTTTAAAAAAAAAAATTATTTCAAAATAACTATCGTTCTCCGACCGTACTTATGTGTCATATAATTATTATTCCATATACTATTTTCAACATATTAATAACACTAATTAAATAAAAATACAATATCTAATGACAATTCCTTAATCTATATGGAAAACCTACCATAGTTATTTTAAAACGGAGGAATACAACCTATTGAAAAAATGAAATTTTGAGCTATTCATTCTATTTATTTAAGTTAGTAATAGCAATAGGGCGTGGTGAAGAGAGACATTGAATAGTGCGTCGCAACAATATATAAGTACGGAACATAATCCAAGGAATTAGGCTCAAACTCTAACTCCTCAATTTAAGTGTTTAAAACTTCTTCAATCTTCCATTACATTCTCTTTCTACCCTTTTCACTCCCAATGATTTGAACATCACAATGGGCTTCCTCCGGCGACTTTTCGGCGGAAAAAAACACCACAATCCACCACCGAGAACCACCGCAAAAAAAGACAAGAGAATCTGGAGCTTAGCCAAAAACAGCACAAGGGACAAAACCAACTCACTCCCGTTGAATAACCACAAAAATACTGACCCTTCTACTTCTTTTGCCGAAAATTATGATGCCAATAAACATGCAATTGCTGTAGCTGCCGCTACCGCCGCCGTAGCCGAAGCTGCACTCGCCGCCGCTCATGCTGCTGCCGAGGTTGTCAGACTGACAAGTAACACCGATTCAGGACATTCCGCGGTTAGACCTCAAACTCCGAAGACCGGCCGGAGATGCTCGCCGGCGGAATATGATGCCGCCGTGAAGATACAGTCGGCGTTCCGAGGTTACTTGGTAAGTATAACAATTTGTATTTTGTATCATGTTTTATTTTAAAATTTGTTTGTAATTATACAATTATAAATTAAATTTAAATAAAATAAAATACAAAATAAATAGTAAGAGTTTAACGATGCACGATTTAAAGTCATTAATAAAAAACCATTGAAATTTAGCAAATTATCTAAATTATTTTAAAGGGTTTAATTGTTATACATTAATTGTGTAAAAATATATTACAGTATCAATAGAAATATATGTCATATAATTAGTTTAAAATTTTCAATATAATTTAAAGGGATAAATTGTTATTGATCAACTTGTTTAAAAGAAATTTACATGTGCATCGCCTTTTTTCCATTTTTAAAATATTAATATGATTTGTGTAGATACATATTATTCATTAAATAAAGGTATAAAATATATCTCTTATTTTTTAAAGGTTAATTTCTGTCATTCAATAGAAAATCAATAATCTATCCTATCATTTAAATAATTTTAAAATATAAATGTGATGTGAAGAAATTTATAATCATAATTTTAAAATATAAATGTGATGTGAAGAAATTTATAATCGTCATTAATCGAGAGTAAGACAGTCAGTGCATCACTCTATTCTATTTTTTAATAAATAAATATAAATTATAGCAATTTTAATAATGTTGTAAAATAGTCCAAAGAAAGTACCAAAAACATTAAAGAACTTGAAAACGGGTAATGTAATTTTGTGTATAAATATAAGACTTCACGTGTTTGGTGAGTTATGATAGTTTCCTTTCTGGGACCAGAGAGTTATGTCTATTTGTACAAAAAAACAACACAAAAAATGAAATAACACAGCGACAGAACATCATCAACCATGTTTTAGTTAATGGTCCAAAGTATTATAGGTTATTAGGGTTACCTATTAATCAATGTAATTTGTAGCTAGCTACTATAGTTTTGTTTTTGGTAGGGCATGAATATTTCTGGTGCATTGATATGTCCTAAACTTGTATTCTTGGAATTCAAATTTGCTAGCAGTTAAAAAAGCATGCATTCAAGCATATTTGACAGTCGGATCTATGATCGACCGATCAAGGTCGGATGATTCTGATATAAAACAGACAATTTTAAGAAAATTAAAACTACTTTGTGAGTTGTATGATTGGGATCGAACCGTTAATATCATCTTTCCAGCGTGAATGCGTGCAAACTATATAACGGCAAAGGATTAGAATTAGTATTCTTGGTGGGGAAGCATAGGAAGCTTCGATGCATAAAAAGTAGCATAGATAATGGATGGCTTTTTCACTTTGAATTCGTGTTTGCTAATGATTACATTCATACATTTTTTCAACCACATTTTCTCCCTTTTATGACTTTTCCCTATTAATATACTATACCTTTTCAATCTTCCATACTTATTTGTTCCCTATCTTTTACTTTTATTTTAGGCTTTAATTAATTTCAAGTTTTGATGACTCAAAACACTTTCATTTTAGTGATATTATTATTAATGAATTTTTTTCGATTTTCACTAACATTTTCATATGAGTTTGAAAGGCAAGGAGGGCATTAAGAGCACTTAAAGCATTGGTGAAATTGCAAGCATTGGTGAGAGGTCACATTGTAAGAAAGCAAACGGCCGATATGCTAAAACGCATGCAAACATTGGTGCGACTTCAGTCACGTGCACGTGCAAGTCGCATGCACGTTTCTGATAATATGCACTCTTTCAAGTCTTCACTTTCTCGTAACCCTGTGAGTTTCTTTTAAATATTTTCTATGAATTTGAGTGACTAAATTGAGCTACTCTTACAATTTTAAGCACCAAAATGTTAATTGACTTTTCAAAAAGCAATATTCTTTTATTAGTTGTCTTATTCTTATCGTAGCAAGTTGATGCTAACTTGTTAAAAAAGGCTATGTAATGGTGTCTCACTTTCTTTTAACCTGTCATCTTTAAAAATGCATTTCTCTCTATTTTTTTCTTTTCTCCATCACCTCACCAATAGTTGTAATTTGGAATCTCATGTTTCATAACTTTACAACTTGTCATCTGATTTTTACTTTGCATAATTGCAGGTCCCAGATGATTATGAGCATCGACTTCATGTCTATAGGACGAAATTTGATGGATCTTCGATCCTCAAGGTATTCATGATTCATGCTCATAAATTTGATGTAACTTAAACTTTGTTACTTCAAATGCAAGCAATACAAGTTTTTTTTTCATTCTATGGTCTTGAAAATGATGGATCTATAATTTGAATTTAACCTTGGACTGAAAATTTCATTTTGAACCTGCAGAGATGTAGTTCCAATGCAAATTTTAGGGACATGAACTTAGAACGAGCCCGGTTCGGTTCGAACTGGTTAGACGGTTGGATGGAAGAAAACACATGGAGCCAAATCGGAGACACTTCATCGAAAACCATACATCTTGATGATGAAAAGAGTGATAAAATTCTTGAAGTAGATACTTGGAAGCCACATTTGAACTCACATCATAGTACTAGCACATCTTTTCAACATCATCATTCATCTTGTGATTACAATAATGAGAATTTTACACAACACGACTCACCGAGGAAACGTTCGTTCAAACCTCACAATTCAAGTTTCTCTTCCATGAAACATCAAAAAGATAAAGAAGAAGTAGCTTCCTCACGAACGACGATCGATAATACTCCGCAAGCGCTTTCGGCTTCTTCTAGACTCGAAAATGGTTTGAGGAGAGGTCCTTTCACACCAACTAAAAGTGAGACTTCATGGAGTTTTTTCAATGGCTACTCTGATTGTCCTAGTTATATGGCATATACTCAATCTTCTAGAGCTAAGGTTAGATCACAAAGTGCTCCAAGACAAAGGCTAGAGTTTGAGAGAAGCAGTGTTTCAACTACAAGATCTATTCAAGGTCTTTGAGGTTAAATTGCAAGTTTTATGAATGAAAAAGGAAAAAAGTATAAATATATTTAGTTCTTATAACTTGGATTTTAGTCATTTTACTAATTTTTTAGTCTTTACAAATTATGTTTTTAATTTGTCTAGACTAAAAATGAGTATATAAAGACTAAAAAAACAAAAAAAAATTTATAACAACTATAAATATATTTAATCCTTAACAAATAACTTGATGTGACATTTGTTTTTCTTGCGCTTTGTTTTTCAATGTGTTAAAGTAGTTCTTAGGTGTAATTATTTAATATGTATTCTTGACTTATTAATTTGTCTGACATACGATTTATTATGTTCAAATAGTATTACAACTTGTTGTGAGTGTTTTCTTTAGAAATGATGATTTTTTTTTTTGAAACTGTGATTCATGAGAAGTTTTTTATTTTATGAATGTAAATAGATTGTGAATTAAGGACAATGTGATATGTAAGTATAAAAATGGAAGAAAATTTAGATATAAATTGTTTCAAGTAACAATAATAATGTTTTAAGTTTATGAATTTGTTTGTAATTATATAAATCATAGTAATACTAATAATGTTATAAAATACTCGAAAAGTTTATATTGGAAAAATAAAATACTTGAGAAGTTGAAGGATCTATTGCAATACTATTCTTGTGGCTTTCCTTCCATATTTTATTTTTTAAAATATTTTTATTGATTCTCTTTTCTTATATTTTTCAACAATTCATAAAAGCAACGTGTTCTTTTGCAATTATCAACTATTCATATGCTTATAACTATTAAAGAATTATAGAGAATGTTGTCCAGAGATATTATAGGTAGGGGTGTGTAAAAAAATTGGTTATTTTTAATCAAATTTGTATCCAAATTGTTCCACCTTTAAAAATTCAAACCAAATGCTAAAATATAAATTTAGTTATCCATTTTGTTATCCAAATATAAACTGATTTCGATGCGGTTTAGTTATTGGTTATCCAAATTTCATGATTTATTAAATTAGTATATTTTTGTCTCTTTTCATGTTTTATCATATACACGTTATAAACTAATTTTATATTTTAAACCAAAAGATTCATAATTGTGTATTTTAAAATGAATTCAAAATATTAAAATTTTTTAGGATCACTTAGATATAATTTTTGCCTCTTAAACTTTGTTGTTTTTTTTTTTTTTCGTTTTAATTGTAAAATATTTTTATTTAAAGAGAAACTTGTGTCATTTATTCAAGAAAAAAAATCATTTGAATCATTCATCATTTATATCTATTATGTATTTTTCATGTATATTTATGTCCAAACATTATTAGGTTTGGTGATATCCTGATCTGTCCAATAACACTAATACCTTTGATTTTCTTTTTTTTATTTATTTTTTCAAAGTAACAAATAAAGTCCAATTTGAATCTAATTTAAAAGACACAACCACTCCACCGATTCAAATAAATCCATAAACTTTGATTCTATTCTAAAAGTTTCATTAAATAAATTAAATTTAGTCATTATCATTCATCAAATCAATATTTTGAAAATTTATGCAACAATATTAATATCAAAATCAACTTCACATTAATAATGTTTAAGACTTCATTAAATTTTTTTCATTTGGAAAGAAAAATTGTATTATATGTGATAAGAGTGATTGCCAAATAATTGCAGATTGTAATTCAAAGTTATCACTTGACTCATGACACCTTGATAATTTGATTGAGCTATATTATTAATTTATTAGTTTATAGAGTCTCAAATGGACGTTGTATTTATATATATAATCCTATTTAATTATAGTTTAACAATAAAAAAGATTTATAAGATTCTATTTAAATACAGTTTAATCGTAAAAAAAGTTTAAATTATGTGCGATAATATATTACATATCCTTAACCACATACATACTATTATATTTATTATTATTATTATTATACAATAAATATAAAATATAAATTTTAATATCTTAGAATTGATTAATAGGAATTGTAAAATCTTTAGCACATTGTTTCACACGCACCATATTGCTCTATTATATTTTAAAATGAATTTTTCTATATGTTCATAGTATGGAGTATTTTAAAATGAATTTATTAAAATGTTCATGTTTAATTTTCCATATGGATTTTCGATATATGTTCCATTTCTTAATACAAAGTATAGAATTAAAATGTTTCAGGTGGTTTATCAATTATTTGATAGTTTGCAATAAAATTGTTTTTTTTTTTAAAATTGATTTTAAAACTGATTTCTTTAAAAAAAATAAAAAACTGGTTTTGAGAGAAATCGGTTTAAAACTGGTTTTTAAAAAAACTGTGTTTTTAAAAAAAAACTGGTTTGAAACAGAACCAACCCACTTGTAAACCGGTTTTAAAAAAATAAACCGATTTTATATGAACGATTTTAAGATCCAAACCAAACCATATATGTGATTTGGTTTGGTTTGATTTATAATCCATGCAAACCCCTAATTATAGGAATACTTTTATTATAGTTTTATTATAATTGATGACAATTTTATTAAGGGAATTACAGTTTTATTATAGCATTTATAAGAGGTTTTATATATATATATATATATATATATATATATATATATATATATATATATATATATATATATATATATATATATATATATATATATATATATATATATATATATATATATATATATATATTCATCGGTCCTCTATTTTTTTTTTCCTTTCTATTTTCCCATTTGTTCCTTGCTCGAGCCCTTTTTTTGTGCGGCTTTATCTCTGCACCTGATACAAACTCAATCCTCTTTTATTTTGTTCATCTATGCGTCAAGGACAAAACAAAGATTGTTAAATCCATTACCATAATCTTAATTGGCTCAAACTACAATATTTGGATTTAAGGAATGAAGAGTTTATTGATCGGCCATATATTCATATTTGGATTTAAGATCATCACGTGGTTACGCAACACGTCTGTATCATATATTCGTATTCAATTTGATAACTATGATTATGCAAAAAAAAATTGAGATTTGTTTAAGAATAGTTATCAAAATAGTTATCAAACAACTATACTTGCTCATTATTATCAATTGTGGACCACACTTCTCAATATCAAGCAAGAATCCAGTTAATCAGTGAATGCTTTTCTTGCTCTCGTCCAACCAATTCAGCATCAAGCATCTCTGGCCAAAATTAGTGAAGACCATCTGCATCTCACTCAAGTCCTTATGGCTATTGGGCCCAAATATGAATCCGCACGAGCCTCATTGCTGCATCTAAATCCGCTTCCATCGTTGGATATATCTATTCAAAAGTTCATTTTTGAAGATACATGCCTGAATCTAGATAAAACTCCTCAAATAAATGATGCTCTTTTAACTACTCGATTCTCACACTAGAAATTGAATCATCATCCATGTAAGAATTGAAATCGCATAGGTCATGTATTTGCTAATTGTCCTACTATATAATGGAGGTATTGTCCTTGTATTGGACATATTCTTAAACATTGTCCCGCGTGACCTCCAAAAAAAAATCATGGCTCCTTCAAATTCAAGAATGTTCCAAAGTATGGATTTTCCTTCATCTTTACTACTACCACAAAGGGTTCCACTCCCATTCCTATGAGCAATATTGAAGCTTAAATCAAACAAGCTATATCTTCCAACACCTTTACTGTTGTGTATGCTACTCACAGTAATTCTCGTTGGTTCTTTGACTTAGCATGTTATAATCATATGACTGCTGATTTTAAACCATTGCCTTGTTTCTTCTTTGCCACCAATCCACACAGCCAGTGGCAATACAATGAACATTATTCATAACATTCATGTACAAGATCTAGATACAAAGCAACTCATTGAGACAGGTTGGAAGGTGGGTCGATTATTTAAGATCCAATCTCTTCACCTTTCTAAATATCATATATCCACTGCTAATCTGAAACCCCCCATTCATCAATGGCCTCTCCGACTTGGTCATGCCTCGGTTAGAAAAATTCAACCTTTAATATCTCGTGGGTTATTATGATCCATAAAGTTCGAGTCTTTTGATTGTTTACATTGTAAACTTGCTAAACAACCTGCATTATCATTTAATCATAGTGTTTCTACTTCAGATAGTCCTTTTGATTTTAATTTATTCATATATTTGGGGGCCCTCTCCTGTATCTTCATAAATAGTTTTCGTTATTTTTTCTTGTTTATTGACGATTTTTCTTGTTTTATATGGATATTTTTTTGAAAAATCGATCTAAATTACCTCAAATTTACATTTCCTTTGCTTGTATGATTAAAACACAATTTTCATGTGCTATTAAGATTCTTCGTGCAGAAAATGCGATGGAATATCATGATTCTTCCTTGCATCAATTTCTCAATCAGCCAGGCACTATGGTTCAATGTTCATGTCCTTACACCTCCCAATAAAATGGTCGAGCTGAACAAAAAACATCGTCACATACATGACTCAATTTGTGCTCTTCTTCTCTTAGCCTCGTGCCCAAAAATGTTTTTAGGGGAAGCAAATGTTAATGCTGTATAAATAATTAATCAACTTCCCACCATAATTCCTAACAAATTATCTCCTTTTGAAAAAATGTTTGGTAAGTCTCCTTAATATTACATTCTTAAGCCTTTTGGATGTTCTTGTTTTTTTCTATTGCAACCTCACGAGTACACAAAATTACAATGTGTGCTCGTTTGTGTTGATTTCTTGGTTATGGCATGAAATAGAAAGGATATCGTTCTTGGGATCCAATTTCCAATAGATTATGCACTATGTTCTCCCCTCTTTCTAAATTTCACCATTCTCTTATCACTGACTCCTTTTAATTCACTGATACCTCGATTGAGTTGTTTCCAAGTTCTGATGCAGATAACTTTGACGGGCTTAATACTCTTCCATCCTCATTTACTTCTACTTAACCTATTTCAGATGCTGATATTGCACTCACATTTTATCATTCCACCAAAGTAAGTAGTCCACCTTTTCATATTAATGATTATCATTGCTACTCTACTATTAAAACTC